CCTAAAGAACTTCACTTTCCCACTGAGACAAGAACACTGGCAGCTGAGTTCTTGGATCAGAGGCTAGGACTGAAAGACGGATTTTCTTGACTGGACACTTTGTGTTGTGTTCATAATTTCAACTGCAACTGTCGGGCTAGTTGCGTTGGCCACGAATACCTTCCGGCGTGGTTAGGTAAAGGTGTGGTAAAGACCTTTATCGACTCCATATTAGCACACATATATGAATGGATGGTTTTCCACTACCTACCTGGTTCCCATTAACTAGGCAAAAAGTACTCGGCACTGAGTCTTTCAGAATGCAGGAACAGTACCAATCAGGATTAAACGACTAGAGTTATTTGTTCAGGAAACGCAAGTTTTTCCGCTACGACTACCTTAACCCAATTCGAGATTTGCAAATACCTCAGAATCCTTCTTCAAGAATTACTTAAGTTATTGGCAAACTGTTAAATAAAATCTCCCCACTACCGAAGCAAAGTTACACAAAACGCAGATTTTGTGATGGTAAAGAATATTCCTAATTCATTTAAATGTCTTCTGAATTATGACGGAAGTTTCTTAAGAGTTGATAGAAGTATAAACATCCTTTTGTTTTGTGCATCGAAGTATTTTGGGTAACATTGATGTATTTAACGATAAACAAAACAAAAGAGGTGAGTGTGTATTGATAAAAGCAGCTTTACATGATCAAAATATTGAACACTGAATGGTATTCTCGTTATCTACATGGGAATAGATTCAATATTCCTACATCCCTAATCATAATACTACGCTTCTGTTAAGCAATATAGCTTGTAATTCATTATCTTTCATAACATACATAAGCTTCTTCAGTTTTTCACTCTGACTAGAAAAGCATTTATACTTAATTGGAGAGAAAGCAAAGAGAGAATTTAAACAAAAACTGTAAATTAGGCAACTAGTCAAATTAATTAGAATGTATCATCTTTTCTCTTGCATAGGCATATTACTTTACTTGGAGAAGGAGACTGTAAAGTGATTTATACTTAGAGATATTATGTAATTATGTAACTAATGGAAGTGGAGATGTATGTTCACAAGTTCTGTGTGCTTAGATGAGAGGATGAAATCCACTTCACTGGCTAATAATGGCTTTGGGTATCGTAATACAAGCATGAATAAATAAACTTATGTGTATGTGTGTGTATGAATACTGGCAAATATTTTTGGCCATACAGTTTTTGTTGGTTACAAGTAAATTTCTCGTATGATAATTTGGTTGATTATGGCTAGCAGAAGAATCCAGGATGTACTTTCCTCCCTATTTGGGACTCTTCAGCTGGATGCACCTGCACCTCAGTGATGTTGTTCCCACTGAGATTCGAACCTCACACCCATCGCTTCAAATGCCAAGGCGTCCCAAATAGGAAGAAACGCGCATCCTGGATTCTTCTGCTAGTCAAAACCAACCAAATTATCATAATTAACATTCAGGCAATATCGAGGTATCCGCATAGGAGCCCATTTGCCAATAAAGGTCGAACAATTCGATCCAACAAAACAACGGAGAATAACAAGTATGTCGAAAAATTGTGTTTCAAATTCTTTTATACTCTCTTTAATAGATTGTTCGGTTAAATTAAATTGATGTAATTTGGTCGATGGTAGCTAGCAGTGGAATTCAAGTCAAGCATTTTGTCATGTTTTAGAGTTATCAGCTGAATGTGTATACACTCTAGTGAGCGATGGTTTTTCCATTGAGATGTGAACCAAGAATCTTCCTTTTCAAACACAACAGCATAATCCGTCAGGCTTTTGGACTGTCTGCTCTACTTCTTGTTTAACGTGCATAACTTTCTATCCGTTGATACTTATTGTTCATTTTTGGTTATTACACTGGACTGAAGCAATCTCTCCTTGTTGGGATATAAACTCTTTGAACCGATGCGTTGTTATTGCATAGAAGTACATTTTAGTGCTATTGAAAATTCAAGTCCATTTTGTGGTCGGTTATAAAGTAAAAGCGGAATATTGAAGTAAACTACCGCAGGTGATCTGTTTTGAGTGAATTGTATATAACGGTGTACCGCAAACTTCAGAGTATTTATCATTACCTAAGGATAACTCATGCCGAAATTCAAGGTAGTAGTGTTTCCGACATTTTAGGACCCACCACCCGGCTATATCTGCGTTTCATCCCGTTAGAGCTTCCACTGAACATTGGACACACCAGTCAGCGCTTGCAAGAACACAGTGTAATATGCAGCAGGCCTGATTACTCGAATGAACGCCTGTATAATGAATAACAGTCTCTACGTGTGTTTTTCATTCAAGCCTTGTTAATGTGGATTGCTTTTAATGTCAGTAGAGATGAAGCTTCATGTATGCTGTTGAATGCTGTCCTTTGATCGTGTAGACTTTCACTGCATACATACACACGCGTATCACGAAACGCACTTCTTGTTTTGCAAGTCCATGCTACAGCTTCTGCTGATTAAACCTGTTAACTTTTCCATTTCTAGACGTTTTACCACATGAAAGACGAATATTATTATAATGTATCGTTCTCAGTTACGTCTATGCTAGGAAAGTTACACTCTATATCTAAGAAAATTTAGTGTGACATACTGAATTCTGATGTTAAGGTAAACGAAATGTAGTAAAAATAAGTTCTGTATTTGTCAATAACCAATCAGAAGCCAAGTGTCAAAATCACCTAACCTTTACGGCATGTAAGATATGGAGTTGAACAATATACTCTAGATTCTCCAAAGAACCTTTGAGTTTTCTGAAAAACTCTAGTAGCTAGTCATGGGATGCCAGACTTTCTTGAGAAACCACTTTATCATACATGTTAGTTTCAGAGTAGCTAAACAGCTTATCGAACAAGGCTAATAAAGAGATATATAAATACTTACTTATTTCGTGTATATGTTCAACTTGGCAGTAAACCGTTAGTCGTTTCTGCCGCTTCCTGACTTTTTCGAGGAACTGACTGACCCTCAAGGGTGCGACCGAAAGTTACCATTCAAAAGTCCAATGAAATATATATATATATATATATATATATATATACATGTATATATGTATATGTATGTGTATATATGTATATATATACATATATGTATACATATGTATGTATATACATATGTATAAATATATATATATATATATATATATGTTCAAAAAGGATACATCATACTAAAAACTAACTTTCCACTCTTTAATGCTTCGCTGTCAAGCAGTGAAACTGTATAAATATACAGTATGTTTTACACAAGGTTCAGCTTGCAGCAATAAATAACCAGCGAATCAAAATGGTGGAATCGCTGAAACCTCTGTCATCAATTTTATGTCCTCCTGTGAAACATACATATATATATATATATATCTTCCTAATGAAAGGTACAACTTCAGTAGCACGTATCCATTCCACTACCTTCTCTGCAATACTTGCAACCTGGCTCCACCACGACCCACAAACTCTCATTTCTTCATCACACACCATCTCCTCCATATCACCCTCACCTCCAACGCCCAACTCATTGTTTCTCATCTACATTCCAATCGAGTGCCTGGCCTGGTGCATGATGTCCCCAGTCCCCCTTCTCAGTGCATCCCCAATCCATCTCCACTTCCTTACACTGCATGTTTGCTGAGTGACAGCTTCTTGGTTGGTTCGTTGCCAGCCCACAAGCCAGACAGCCAGCCAGCCAGAGTTCCCTGTTGCTTATTATTATCATTCTGGTCATCTGAGCTTCAGTATCGAGCAAGAGTAGGCAATCACTGATGAATATCTGTTGTTTGTTGGAAATGCATTTCGCAACGCGCCAACTTTCTGAACCATCACAGAGAAGCACAGACTTGAGTAGATTGGTGTTGAAAATCCGGATGTTGTCCACACTTTTTGCTGAGTGGAGTGCAGTGGAGTAGATCTCCACACTGGTTTCACGTTAATGAACACCTGTCTTGGTATCTTTGCGATCGTGACTGCGATGACGTCCTCGTCTGTGCCTGTTCCGCCTGTAGTTGAAACAATGCTGCCTTGACCAGGAAGGTGGAAGAGACCACTTCCTTTAAGTTTCCCCCATTGAGGGTGATTACAGTGTGTTGTTGTTGGTGGTGGTGGTGCTTGTGGTGGTGGTGGTGTTGGTGTTAGTTGGATATCATCATCACCTCTGTCTTCTCTACGTTCACTTGAAATCCCCTCTTCGCTGCCCTGCTTCGCCTCTTCTCTTGTTTTCGTCTGTACATCTTCACGTTTGTGTGACAATGGACATAAATCATCGTTGGTGAAATCCAAGTCTTCTAGGCACTTTTCATCGGTCAGACATTTTATCCCCCTCTTCTCTCTCCCAACTGTTTGTTGCATGATCCGGACGAGTCGAACACAATCAGGAATATCGTGGGTGATAGTAGACAGCCTTGTATTACTTCTTCCTGTCTTCACTTTGAAGACATCACTGAGCTTCCTGTTGTGAATTACTTGTCATGTAGTGTCTTCATATAGTTGTTGAATGAGGCTGATGAAGGTTTGTTTTATGCCATAGTTTTGAAGCAGTTGCCAAATTACCTCTCTGTCTAGTGACCAATGATGGTTATGGTCACAAACCAATGGTTATGGAAAAGAATGAGCTAAAAGTTAGGAAAACTATATTGTTGATCATTTTTTTATTATATTCAGATTTTCATTTCGAATGTCGCCAGGCAAAGATTTCAGTCAGAATTTTGAGTGAAACGCTGAAACAGTGTCATCTCCAACACTTCGAAATTTCTTCTATACTATAACAGATTTTTACCTATTTATCAATATCTTTGGGAAATGTTTTGTCAAATAAACTTAAAGTGACTTAATGGGCGCTGAAGAGTTCAGATGTCACCCTTACATCTCCATCTATGCACAGTTGTTTTCATTTTTTCTAAGAAGAAAGCCTTCTATCTCTTCTTAATCTATAAATAGGTTAATGAGACTCAATAATACCCCTTAACCATAAAATGAGCTGTACAGAGAACTGTACAAATAAAACAACATTAAATACTTGTTCACAGAATCTATGTTGTACAATATACTACAGAAAATCAATGAAAAATAGACATCATTCCATCTTATGATATTAAACTATGTTTTGATTCCAGTTTTCTACATGTTTCTCACTACAATAAATACACTTTGTGTCTTCATTTTCAACAATATGTCCAGTTGTTGTAGTCTTTACCACTGGTTTCATCAACTCAGGATCATCTAAAATATCACATGTTCGTACAATATGAAGGAAGACAGGTGGATCTGGTGGATTTGAATGATGAAATTGCGAAGAATATGGAAAGTATGCTAACAAGGGATCTGTGATATTTGGATGAGTACCTTGTTCTATATTGTATTCATGAGGTAAATGGATTTGTACAGGTTGTGTCTGTGTGATTGAAATATCATTTGTCGAAGTATTGACACTAGCACAAAGAAGTGGATGATTCTGACACCTTTCCATTTCTAAATCACCTGATTTCTTGATGTCCAGATATTGTTTACGGCTTTGTTGCACTTCAATTTGATTGTGTACTATGAAAATAAAGGTATGAAACAAAAATCACAGGAATAAATTCTTAGCTGTTGCTAAACCGTTATTAAATATTTGTTACCAAAATAAATTTAGTCGAAAATTCCGCTGATTTCACTAAACGAATCTATAAAAAACATTCAAATGTAGAGTCACTGATAGTCAATCCTCCCAAGAAACCCCCACATTGATTCACTGTTCTAGTATGCAGATGAGTTGTGATGAGAAGTCTTGACTCACGGCTCAAATTCAGTCGGACATGAGGACAGTTACTAAACCATGGCATTAACTAGAGGTCATACGATATCGCAGACTTATGGGAGAGGAAAAATGTGAACTAATGGATTCCTAAAGGTTCTAGTTTCGATTATGATCCGGGTCAAGAGTGCGCACTGCTGAATAGCTCCATACCAGAACAAAACGGCTTTCCTGTGCTCCAAAATTTCCAATCGTTCTGTAACTGCTGTCAGTCCAAGATGAATACCAACGTGAAATCAATACTTCATTTTCTGGGAAGTGGATAAGTTGAAATTTACTCAGAGAACAATCCTCTTATTAGATTAAACATCTAGTAGACCACTCAGCGAATAACTCATGTATCTTAACATGATATGAAGCTGCATCGTTGAATTAAGTAGTTCAATGAAATGACATAGACTTGAAGACTAAAAGTAAGTCAATCATTGTAGATACCAAACATTCAGGAGAATGAGTGTTTGACAAGTTTGTTGAAAATAAGTTCTCAAAATATAAAAATAGGTTGGTAGTGATGGTGGATAGCAGTTAGCAGTGGAATGCAAGACACTTGTTTCGGTCTAATTCGTATTTTTCACGGTGAATAATGTTGCTCTCACCGAAACTAGAAAGCAGAAACCATAATTTCGAATGCCAGAACACTATTCACTGGACTGCTGAGTCACGGTAGTTGCCTGTTTTGGGTGTCGGGGGTCATAGATGCTATAGTTGAATTCCGGTGTCATCAGAAACAGCACCAGTCGACAACTTGTATGCTCTATAGCGTCGGTCCATTTGAAAGAATGCAGTGTTGCAGCACAAAAGATCCGACGGTGTTTAGAGTACAATTCATGGATCATTTTTGTATGAAGGTGGTCAAATGACTTGATTTACATACTTCTGTTACTTCTCTTGCTTTGGTTTTGATGATAAGAGAATTTTCACTACGTGAATTACATACCGGTTAATGGGTAGACCAATTTCGTCACATACATTTTGGTGTTTAATCAGTGGTTAGATGTCCAGTGAAGAACCTATCACATCTCCAACCATAATAATTTCAAGAAAACTTGTATTTTAACCTGGAAGTTTGTTGTATGGGACGCTAACGGAGTCTATATCTTTCAGAGAAGTCCGAAATCTGTGAAGTGTTTGACAATCAATCATTATACTCTATTCTTTCAAGAAAATATAAGTCATCATATGGGTAAATATCAGACTGGTCGAAGAGGTTAAATCAATAACAAATACCCTTATGCAGAAGTCGAAACGTTATGAGTGCATTTGTAAAAATATAAGAATCATTGTATTGCATATGTGGCTGAGTGTGACAATGCATTCCCTACTATCATGTTGCTTTTTTAGTTTCCCAAGTCATAAAGCGATGATCAAGCCTGGAATATAGAAGTCATTGTTTAGGCTTTCGTAGAAGTATGATAGCGTAAAGCATTTCGTATCGATATACTTGAAAACAATAAATTGTGCTCAAAGTTTCATTCACTGTGAGCAATAATAAGTCAATCTATTTAGTATAGAGTTATACTGTTACACAGTATCCGATTCCTGCTATTACATAACCGACAATCATAAATTAAGTCCCACTGATACGCACACATATCCATAGTCCTGACTGGTTGTAGAGATATTTCAATCTGACTCAACTCAGCCGATATAAAACTCTTTCGTGTATGTAAAGGGATACAATTCATATTGTCTATCTATGGAACAACTGAAAGTGGTTGGGCATGCAGATCTGAACAGATGGTGTATAAATATATATTGGCAAACGAGTAAAACATGCACCACAGAATTCAACGTTTGATTATTATTACGTTTGTTCACACTTTATAAGCCAATCAAGTCAAATTATTTACAATAGTAAAACAGCAAACTTTTCTAAATTAAATACTTCCCTAAACGTTTTATGATTTCGGTTTTTCGGAAAGGTGTCTGAAGCAGCAGGATGTTGTCAATTATCACTTCAAAATCTGTCTAATTTCTGACTACATTTTCATGAGAAAAACAACTTCATGTTGAGCTTAGTTGGAAACTATACAAGTTCTATTTAGAGAAGTGTTTTTATATCATTAAAAAAAACTTGAAATTTTCAAAAAGTGGTCAATGAGTCTTTGGGCTGTAGACTGAAACAGCAGCAAAATCCATAAAGTAAAAAAACCCAGAGTATCTACAAGAATGGATGTCATTCAGGTATTCCGCTTACAAATGTTGAAACCACCCTTTTTAGTGACAATTCACTTCACTTTAGATAGTTTGGAGTGACTGACAGGAAATACTGTTTGACTGGGACTTCGTACTTATCGGCACTCGTCAGCAAGACTTATCTGCAATCTCGACAGAAGTGATATCCTCTCTGAGATCTAAATCCACACAATACAGTGTTGTAATCAGCAAAGATACCAATGAGCTACTCAGACGATGATTAATTTTCTTTAGTGATGGGATCGGAAACACTGACTGGTTACTGTAGAGCAACAGATTTCGCATTCTCTGAGTCTCACAGCCTAGTGACCAGATTGCAAAATGATGAACAGAATTCAGTCACCCCTTCAGACTAGAACTTGACTCTTATTCGATTAAATTTATTACATACAATCGAGCTTAATTTGTGATATTTACAAGAAGAGTTTACTTTGTAAAACTTCCTTATTTTCAAATGTGTTTAGATTCACATGAATAAAAACTATCTGAAAAAATATGCTCATTTATTCATGAAAAGGAAGAATAATGACTTTTTTAGTAAAGGTATTTTTCACTGGAAATTCAAGTACTTATGGTTACCGTATTAAGATAAGGAGGTAGTCACTTAAGGGAAACAGAGTTAACGAAGAAAGGAGTTGAACTGGAGAGTTTGCACACATTACTTGCTACGAAAAATGATCAGGATAATAGCGAAAATATAAATTGGGAGGAAACTGATTTATTTCGTAAAGGTATATTGAGGAGAGAGAGAGAGACGGAAAGGTTCAAAAAATTACTTATGACTGAAGAATTTGAGTTTCTCACCATGTACAATTAGTGATTCGGTTATAAAAAAAAGGCATGAAAACAGGTATACTTGAAAAGATCAACCATATGGAGCTGGATGACATGACTTCAAAATATCTTCACACATGGGTAATGTTTTCCTATGTTCACTTTTCAGCAAACAACCTTGACAATGTTCAGTATGTTGATTTCTATAGGACTGACGTACAACATGAAATTAAGTCATCGATATAGGTGGATATTACACGCCTGATTAACCAGCTAGGCGTTCTACATATGTGCGATAAAACCTCACCAACGGTGTAACCGGACGAATTCAACTGGCAGAGCCAAAGTAACAGATCAGTCTGTGTAGTATCTAAATGCTCGTGGTGTTCAGTAGTATACTTCGTTAATTTATGATACCCTTTCTCAAATGACAACACTTTCTAACACAAATTCTGTTGACTCCACCGAGGTTCATCCCGGTTGGAAGTCTAAGAGATGAAATTATATTTTCATTTAATTTCATACTTGTGAATTTAGAATTACGGCGATTTGCAGCGCTTGATAAATTATATCAGCAATTCACTTACTAACTTAGCATTTCACCATAAATAATTCATCACAATCATATCAGTCCAATCACACAACGTTGGACATCTACGCTTTATGTTCCTATCACCTCATATTCTTCATTTCCAGTAGCAGCAGCAGCAGCAGCAGAATTTTCAGTATCTCTGGCATACGTGTTGTCTCATTCCGATCACATCTGTTGCTTGGTAATCGATTCGATGAACACAGACTCAGTAAGCAATCTCCCTCCCTCCCTCTCCCACTCTCTCTCTCTCTCTCTCCAGCTAGTTATTTCGAACAAAGGTACAGTGGTCCCATCCCAACCATCCTTCTGTGTACTTGTGTCTCAATAGATGCATTTCAATAGCTGAATATTCTCCTAGTTTACCGATCGGATTGGGCTCTGTCATTCCATATTCAGGTGATTTCCTACATTCCATTATTGTAACTGACGCCGACCACCTAATGTGATTCATGTACTTGAATTCACATGCGCTGCATACAATTTGGTAAATTAGACAAATCCGATGAATTGGTTGTATCGCATGCCTCAGGCAGCCGACAAAGTGTATCTCTGAGTGAGTTTGTGGCTTGAAATGTTATCCTAATTCCAGCCTTGTTGAGAATCCTATGTCAAGTTCCCTATGTCTTTTCCTTCAGTGATAGTGAAATGAAGGCTTTGAAAGCCTTTTTACTTGTGTCTGTTGTATTACTCTTATTATTTCGTTCCATATGCATTTGTACTGGTTTCTGACTGGCACTCAACAAATATGGTGGGAATGATGCAACACTTATATGAGACGAAAATGTGGAGAACTTCAGTGCCACTAAAACCGAAGTATATGAGTTGATAGAGTTATAAAAATTAGATGTCGAAGGTAATGTGGTTATCCTGATATGTTTATGAGCAGTAATAATTCATGCTGGAAACGTCTTCAAGTAGATAACACTATATCAATATGTGCTTTGTCATACAGTTGTTGAAAATGTTTAAATAATTTTTGTTTTCACCTAACCAATATCGTGTAATCAAGAAACCTCAGACATTTTCAGACGAATTTCACTTTGGGACTATTTATTCATTTTTAGTCGGTATATATCAGACTCTGATATCAGTTAGAGGACCAGTGAAAATCTGAGAGTATGGAAAGCATCGGTTTTGTCTTAGGATAGGACTCGTTAGTCTTGAATACGCCAATATGTGTCG